TACTAAAAATTAAAAATTAGCTGGGTGTTGTGGCATGCACTTGTGGTCCTAGCTACATGGGAAGCTGAGGTGAGAGGTCAGTGTGACCTCAGGAGACTGACGTTGCAGAGAGCTATATCACACCACTACTGCACTGTAATCTGGGATTACAGATGCCTGTCCTCTCCTGGCTAATGTTTTATATTTGTAGTAGAGATAGGGTTTCACCATGTTGTCCAGGCTGGTTGGGAACTCCTGACCTCATGATCCACGTGCCTTGGCCTCCCAGAGCACTGAGATTACAGGCGTGAACCATTGAGCCCTGCCCTAATGGACATATTTCTAGAATTACACACCTTACCAAAATTGACTCAAGAACTAGAAAGCTTAAATAGTCCTTTACGTAGGTGCCTATAGTCCTTCACATAGGTGTCCACATGTTACAGTGTACCTAGGATAATTCTGAATATGTCCCTGCCCTGGCATAATCATTAGAAATACCCCTTGTACCATATGGTACTCTGACTTAAACCACATATTATATGGTTCCTCTACTTAAGATCTTATAAAAAAATCTGGAGACAAGTCACTTATCTAAGAAAATACATATAACGGATATAACTGAATAATTATTGGTATTGGCCAGGTGCAGTGGCTCAGTAATCTTAGCACTTTGGGAGGTTGAGGCGGGCAGATCATGAGGTCAGGCGATTGAGACCATACTGGCCAACATGGTGAGAGGTCAAACAGGCAGATAGATACAGGGTACAGATCTAGAACTGGAAACAAGGTGTAGGTTGAAGATATAAACAAGAATTATGGGCTGGGCACAGTGGCTCATGCCTGTAATCCCAGCACTTTGGGAGGCCAAGGCAGGTGGATCAGTTGAGGGCAGGAGTTTGAGACCAGCCTGGCCACATGGTAAAACCCAATCTCTACTAAAAATACATTAAAAAGTCAGGTATGGTGGTGTGCACCTGTAATTCCAGCTACCCAGGAGGTTGAGGTGGGAGGATTGCTTGAACCCAGGAGGTGGAGGTTGCAGTGAGCTGAGATCATGGCACTTCACTCCAGCCTGGACAACAGAGTGAGACTCCATTTAAAAATAAATAAGTGAATAAAATAAACAAGAATTATGATATATATATAGTAGGCTCCCTTATCTACAGTTCTAAGACCCCCTGGTGGATACCTGAAACCACAGATAGTATCAAAAGTAATATAAACTGTGTTTCTTCCTGTGCATACATACATACCTCTGATAAAGCTTAATTTATAAATTAGATACAGTAAGAAATTAACAATAATGAATCATAGAATAATTATAACAATATGCTGTTTACAATCTCATAGGTAGAATCGTTCCTTTTTTTTTATTTTTTTTTGAGATAGAGCCTTCTTTTGTTGCCCAGTCTGGAAGGCAATGATGTGACCTCAGCTCACTGCAACCTCTACCTCCCGGGTTCAAGTGATTCTCCTGACTCAGCCTCCCGAGTAGGTGGGATTATAGGTGCCCGCCACCATGCCCAGCTAATTTTTTTATTTTTAGCAGACACAGGGTTTCACTATGTTGGTCAGGCTAGACTCGAACTCCTGACCTCAGGTGATCCACCTGCCTGGGCCTCCCAAAATGCTGGGATTACAGGCATGAGTTACCGCGCCCAGCTGATAGACTCATTCTTATCACAAATCTTAGCAACTTCAACATATGATTGATTTTTTCTTTCTTTGAGACTTTTTACCTTTTCACTTAAAGGGAGCACCTCATAGCTTCTCTTTGGAATATGTGAATTACCGGCTGTGCGCGGTGGCTCACGCCTATAATCCCAGCACTTTGGGATTACGAGGTGGGTGAATCACCTGAGGTCAGGAGTTCGAGACTAGCCAGGCTAACACAGTCAAACCCCATCTCTACTAATAGGACCAAAAACCAAAACTGGGCATGGTGGCGCACCCCTGTCATCGCTTGAACCCAGGAGGTAGGGGTTGCAGTGAGCCAAGATCACACCATTGCACTCCAGCCTGGTCAACAACAACAAAAAAGGAATATCTGAATTACCAACACCACTATTCTTGAATTTTGGGGCTATTTCATATAAGGGTTCCTTGAACACAGGCACTGTGATACCATGCAAACCTGATAACCGAGATGGCAGTGTGTGTGTGTGTGTGTGTGTGTGTGTGTATCTGTGTGTGTGTGTGTGTTGGTGTGTTGAGACAGATTTTTGTTTTTGTTGCCCAGGCTGGAGTGCAATGGGGTGATACCAGCTCAATACAACCTCTGCCTCCCTGGTTCAAGCAATTCTCCTGCCTCAGCTTCCCAAATAGCTGGAATTACAGGCATGTGCCACCACACCCAGCTAATTTTGTATTTTTAGTAGAGACCTGGTTTCTCCATGTTGGTCAGGCTGGTCTCCAACTCCTAACTTGAGGTGATCTGCCCGACTTGGCCTCCGGAAGTGCTGAAATTAGGCCAGGCACTGGGGCTCACACCTGTAATCCCAGCACTTTGGGAGGCCAAGGCGGGTGGATCATGAGGTCAGGAGTTCAAGGGTAGCCTGGCCAACATGGCAAAACCCCTTCTCTACCGAAAATCCAAAAATTAGCCGGGCATTGTAGCAGGTGCCTGTAATCCCAGCTACTCGGGAGGCTGAGGCAGTAGATTCAATTGAACCAGGGAGGCAGAGGCTGCAGTGAGCTGAGCTCGTGCCATTGCACTCCAGCCTGGGTGACAAGGGCAAGGCTCCCTCTCAAAGAAAAAAAAAAAATTATTTTTAAGAGATGGCAGGGGAGGTGTGGGAGATGGCATGGTAGTTCACTGTGCTGTTGTTTCTCCCGAAATCCTGAGCTCAAGTGATTCCTCTGCCTCGATATCCGAAACTGCTGGGATTATAGGCCTGAGCCACCACATGAAGCCAAAAATTTTCTTTTGTTTAGAAAAAACATTTCTCTTGAAATCCACATCTTTCCATTCCTACCACTCATCATTTTCTTTTACTGAATGTGATAAATGTAAGGAAATTTCTGACATTCCTCCAAAGAGTGTTCTGTATTGGTTCTGTGCCCGTTGGTGATTTTTGTCCCCTCATTCTCTCTCCCTTCCCCGCCCACCCCACCCCGTTCCAATGCAAGTCACCTCATTCTCTCTTGACTATTCTCTAATAAGGCTTTTACATCCTACTTCCACACACACCTCTTCTGAGTCATACATTAATGACCTTAACATTGCAAAATAATAAAAGGGCCATTGGGCATGGTGCTTCTTGCCTGTAATCCCAGCATTTTGAAAGGTTGAGATGGGCAGGTCACCTGAGGTCAGGAGTTCGAGACCAGCCTGGCCAACACGGCAAAACTTCACCTCTACTAAAAATACAAAAGTTAGCCAGGCTTGGTGGTGCACACCTATAGTCCCAGCCACTTGGGAGGCTGAGGCAGAATTGCTTGAATCTAGGAGGCAGAGGTTGCAGGGAGCAGAGATTACCCCACCACTGCGCTCTACCCTGGGCAACAGAGCGAGACTCCATCTCAAAAAAACAAAACAAAAACAAAAAAATGCCTGGTATGGTAGGAGGCCAAGGCAGGCAGATCACTTGAGGTCAGGAGTTCAAGATCAGCCTTGCCAATGTGGTGAAACCCTATCTCTACTAAAAATACAAAAATTAGAAGGTCGTGCTTGCTTGAACCTAGGAAGTAGCGGTGTCAGTGAGCACACATGGTACCACTACAATCCAAACTGGGTGACAGAGCAAAATTCCGTCTAAAAAAAAAAAGAAAAGAAATCAAATGGCCAATTTCCAACCCCCCCCCTTTTTTTTAAGGGTATCATGGTGGTGGGATAGGGGTTTGGATTCTTTTGGTTTACTTTTATTTGTTTGTTTTGTTTTGATACAGAGTCTTGCTCTGTAGCTCAGGCTGGAGTGCAGTGGCATGATCTAGGCTCATTGCAACCTCTCCCTCTAGGGCTCAAATGATTCTCCTGCCTCAGCCTCTCAAGTAGCTGGTACTACACTCGTACCTCACTAAGCCTTGCTAATTTTTGTATTTTTGGTAGAGATGAGGTTTCATCATCTTGGCCAGGCCGGTCTTTGACTCCTAAGCTCAAGTGATCTGCTTACCTCGGCCTCTGAAAGTGCTGAGATTACAGGCATGAACCACCACACCCCACCTAAATATGTTTTAAAATACTCAACTCAAAGGCCAGGCTGAGATGAACATTTTAGTACCTACATATGCATGCATTTCTGTTGGGTGTATGCCGAGGAGTAGAATTGTTGGCTCAGGGGTAGGCATATGTTCTTTTTTTTTTTTTTTCTTGAGATGGAGTTTCGCTCTTGTTACCCAGGCTGGAGTGCAATGGCGCGATCTTGGCTCACTGTAACCTCCGCCTCCTATGTCCAAGCAATTCTCCTACCTCAGCCTCCCGAGTAGCTCGGACTACAGGCGCGCGCCACCATGCCTAATATTTGTATTTTTAGTAGAGACAGGGTTTCACCTTGTTGACCAGGATGGTCTCGATCTCTTGACCTCGTGAGCCACCCGCCTCAGCCTCCCAAAGTGCTGGGATTATAGGCGTGAGGCACCGCGTCCAGCCCTTTTTGTTTTTTTTAAGACGAGGTTTCACGATGTTGGTCAGGCTGGTCTTTAACTCCTGACTTCAGGTGATCCACCCGCCTTGGCCTCCAAAGTGCTTGGATTACAGGAGTGAGCCACCACGCCCAGCCTAATTTTTGTATTTTTAGTAGAGACCGGGTTTCGCCATATTGGCCAGGCTGGTCTCGAACTCCTAACCTCAAGTCATCGCCCTCCTCCGCCTCCAAAAGTGCTGGGATTATGGGTGCGAGGCACCGCGCGGGGCCGGAAAGGACTCTCTAGCCCATCTTACCTAGGGTCTTCGCAGCCCCGCCGGCACGCTTGCGGCAACATCCGGGGCACCGCCGCCCTGCCGGAGTCAGAGGGCTGGGGGGGGCGGTGACGGGTGAGGGGCTACGGTATCTCTTAAGGCAGAAATGTTCACACTCTCCTAACGGCGGCGCCAAGGGCGGTGGGGCCCGGGACTGTTTCCCCTTAAAGGCTTCCCCCCGCCCGGGTCGCAGGAGGACGCCGGAGAGGGCGCCCTGAGTGACCCCCAGCAGCAGCCCGAGCAGGACTCTGTGGTGCGAAGGTGAGAACCCGGGCGGGGCCGGTCGACTCCGACCGCGAGCGGGTCCCTTGCTCGGACCGCGGGTGGGGGCTTGTCGTCCTAACGGAGGGCGCCCGAATAACCGAGTCACGTTTTACGACCACATTCACTGACCGTTCAAAGTCGAATCCTAGGCTTTTCGAGGCAGTTAGTGGGTCCCAACGGCTGCCGGCGCGGCGGCGGCCTGGGGCCCGCGCAGAGGCGCAACGGCCCGGGAGGCGCGCGGTTGAGCGAAGCCGCGGGGCCCAACCGCGGTCGGGGGTCTTGGGAGGTGGGTGCATCGCGCGGTCGCTGCGGCCGGCGGTGGGGGAACCTCGAGTAGGGGTGGGCGGCTACTCGGAGGTGGGCTGGCCTAAGAGAGAAGGGTCCTGCGGCTCTGGGAAACCCGCCTCGGAGCCCTGGAGAGGAGATTCGTGGTTTGCCGAGTACCTGCTATGTCCCGGACTCCGCTCCAGGTGCTGGGATCCCACAGCAAACGAAGCCACCCAGCCCTTGCCTTCCTAGACTATATATTCTAGGAAAGAGACAGAGAAGAAAATGCATAGATATGACCGGGCGCGGTGGTTTTAGCCTGTAATCTAGCACTTTGGGAGGCGGAGGCGGGTGGATCACGAGGTCAGGAGTTCAAGACCAGCCTGGCCAAGATGGTGAAACCCCGTCTATACTAAAAATGCAAAAATTTAGCTGAGCGCGGTGGTGGGCACCTGTAATCCCAGCTGCTTGGGAGGCTGAGGCAGAGAATTGCTTGAACCCAGGAGGCGGAGGTTGCCGTGAGCCGAGATTGCATCACTGCCCTCCAGCCTGGGGGACAGATCCAGACTCCGTCTAAATAAAAAATAAAATGCATGGATATGTAACAGGATGCCGTAAATCTGTAGTAGGGCTAGGAAGCAGGGAGGAGACTGTATGTTAGGTTGGAATTGGGGAAGGGGTCAGTCTGAGAGGCCTTCGTAAGGAGTGTCTTTTGGCGGGAGACCCGAAGGAATTGAGGGAGCCTTGGGAGCATGATCCCGGTGGAGGTAACTGGACTCCGGAGGTGGAACCGTCTTTGCCTTGAAAGAAACCTACCAGGAGTTAAAGTGCTATGCGGGTGGGATCAGCTTTGTAGATTTCTGCAAGATGACAATTGGAATTGTCTTAGGAAATTACAGATCATTCATTTATTCAGTGCTGGATTCATTCAATGATTTATATCTGAAGTGTGAGAGAATGGGAGTAAGGCTAAGTGTCCTTGGCAAAATACTGTTACTAGTTTTGTCCCAGTTTAATACACAGACTAAATTTAGAATTTCCTTTTTTTTTTTTTTTTTTTTTGAGACTGAGTCTCACTCTGTCGCCCATGCTGGAGAGCAATGGCATGATCTTGGCTCATCCCAACCTCTGCCTCCCGGGTTCAAGCAATTGTCCTTTGATTTGAATTTCCGTTGATTTTTAAGAAGTGTTAATTTGAGTTAATTTTACAGATTAGTAAACACTACCTCACTTTTTTTTTTCAGCCTCCCTAGTAGCTGGGATTACAGGCAAGCGCCACCATGCCCGGCTAATTTTGTATTTTATAATTTTTTTTTAATTATTTTTTTTAAAGACGGGGTTTCACCATGTTGGTCAGGCTGGTCTTGAACTCCCGACGTCAGGTGATCCGCCCGCCTTGGCCTCCAAGGTGCTTGGATTATAGGCGTGAGCCACCAGGACCGGAGTAATTTTGTATTTTTAATAAAGACGAGGGTTTCTCCATGTTGGTCAGGCTGGCTTCGAACTCCCAACCTCAAGTGATCCACCCAGCTCAGCTTCCCACAGTGCTGGGAGTACAGGCGTGAGCCACTTTGCCTGGCTGAATTTCCAATGATTTTTTTTTTTTTTTTTTTTTTGAGACAGAGTCTCACTATGTCACCAGCTGCCAGGCTGGAGTACAGTGGCACAATCTCGGCTCACTGCAGCCTCCGCCTCCCAGGTTCAGGCAATTTGCCTGCCGCAGCCTCCTGAGTAGCTGGGACTACAGGTGCAGGCCACCACGCCCAGCTAATTTTTGTATTTTTAATAGAGACAGGGTTTCACCATGTTGGTCAGGATGGTCTCAATCTCTTAACCTTGTGATCCGCCCGCCTCGGCCTCCCAAAGTGGTGGGATTGCAGGCTTGAGCCGCCGTGCCTGGCCTGAATTTCCATTGATTTTTACGAAGTGTTAATTTGAGTTAATTTTACAGATTAGTAAACACTACCTCACTTTTTTTTTCAGTGCTCAGCCCTGTGTTGGAGATTCTGCCTCCCCTGGAACAGATATCTTCTTGAGCACAATCCCAAGGTGGGTGGCTGCTCTGGGTGGGTGTGCACTGCTGGCCTGACAGGGTGTAGGGGAGGGGTCTAGCGTCCTGTCCTCTGGGAGGGAACTTGGGTGAACTTGGGTTTGGGTGGGGATACATGTGAAGTGGTATTGGATCCCATGTCTAAGGGTCCCTTCCTCCTGAAGGCACACAGAACCCCTTCCTCCTTGGGGAGCAGCCTAGGAATGGGCTCTCTTGGGGGCCTTCCCTCAGTGCCACCAGGTCCTGCCCTCTGGCCCATCTCTTCAGAAGGCAGCCTTTCCTTGGAGGGTCAGAGACTCCAGCCCAGGGCTCTAGGGTCACGCTGTGAACATCAACCTCAGTCCTGCACTTCACTTCTCTTGGCCTGATTTCTCCACTGGGAGCTGGCACTCTAAGCCCTCAAACGGAGGATCCTCTGAGAGAGGCCTATGGGCAGGGAGCTGGTACAGAGCAGTGTGCGCTGGGAGGGGTGACCGGTGGGAATAGGGGACTGTGGGAGGGCTGGGGTGTCCTAGTCGTCTTTGTTGTTGGAGCCATGTTTCAGGATGTGGGTGAACGCCACCTAGTGAACTTGCCCTTCTTATCATTGGGTGCCTCCCGGTACATCTCATCCACTTCCTCGTCTGTGAAGCTGTCACCCATGGTGGTGAGCAGCTCCCAGAGGTGGTCCTCATGGAAGAAACCTGAGGCTTCCTAATTGAAGCAGGCAAAGGTGTTTTGGATCACATCCTTGGGGTCCCTGCCGTTCAGCTTCTTCCCAAACATGGTGAGGAAAGTGGTGAAGTTGATGGGCCTCGGGGCCTTGCTTATTATACTCTCCAGGTATTCATTCTTGGGGTTCTTCCCCAGTCAGGCCAGGTTTTCCTTCAGGTCCCCCTTGTGAACGAAGCCTTCACAGTTCTGGTCAATCATGTTGAAAGCCTCCTTGAACTCCTGGATGTGGAACTGGTCAAACATCGCGAAGACATTGGATGTGGCCTGCTCTGCCCGCTTCGTGGTGGTCTTAGCTTTGGCCCACTTGCTGGACATTTTGGCTTCAGGTGGGTGGGGGGCTTCACTGGGTGCTTGGAGCTTGCTGGTCATAGTACCTTACTTTTTTTGAAAAGTATAAGTATTTGAGTTAAAAGAGTTGTGAGGTTTTTCGGTTTGGCTTTATTTATTTTTCCCAAGTGAGAATGACCTAGAAGATAAGAAGTAGCTGACAGAGGAACAAAAAGAGTGAGGTTGGGAGTGGGAAGGTAGCAGAGAGAAAAGAAAACGAAATACAGAGGATGTGGAACAGTGATAGGGACAGTCTGTCCTAATTTTCGTCCTCCTCCTAATAGACTCAGGAAATAATACAGGTGTTTAACGGAACGTATCTCAGCAGAGCCTCAGAAGTTATCAATCCAAGTCAGGAGAGCTGGTAGAGGAGGACACAGACTCAGATTTGATAACTGGTTAAGCAGAATCGTGATTTCCAACTTCACTGCGGCTCACTGAAGCAGTTCAGGCTACGGTGATGCTGTGAGGAGAGGTGGCTTGTTCTAAGTGTTTTAAATTTTATATGACAAGGTAAGCCACATTAAATCACAGAATTTTATGACAGCAAGATTGCCTAATCCAATCTCTGCTCATTTTGCAGATGGGGAAACTGCTAGTTGGTGACAGAGAAACGACTCAGAATATACGAGAGATGTTTTTACCTTAACTTCAGCCGTCTCTCCTCTTATTTGATAAAATGCTTCTCACTGGCTACTGGAGTCAGCTTTATTGAGGATCCCAGAATTGAGTTTATCTAAAACATCATTAGAATTATATGAATTTCACTTTCTTCCATAAGTATTTATTGGAGTGCCCGTTGGCCAGGGACTAAATCACAGCCTCTTCCCTCAAGGAGCTTAAGTAGATGGAGTGAATGAATAACTAGCCCATTACAGTTTACAGGAAGCAGTACCTTGAAGAGAAATTGGAGAGTCAATTCCTAGGATAGCAGAGAGATGGACAACAGACAGAAGGTGAGTATTAAAAGTGATGTCAGCGCTGGGCGCGGTGGCTCACGCCTGTAATCCCAGCACTTTGGGAGGCCAAGATGGACAGATCACCTGAGGTTAGGAGTTTGAGACCAGCCTGGTCAACATAGTGAAACCCCATCTCTACTGAGAATACAAAAAACTAGCTTGCATAATGGTGGGTGCCTATAATTCCAGCTGCTTGGGAGGCTGAGGCAGAAGAATCACTTGAACCCGGCAGGTGGAGATTGCAGTGAGTAGAGATTGCGACACTGCTCTTCAGGCTGGGTGACAGTACGAGACTTCATCTTAAGAAAAAAAAAGAGAGGTGGCTGCAGTGGCTAACGTCTGTGATCCCAGCACTTTGAGGGAATGAGGTGGGCAGATTAAGAGGTCAGGAGTTTGAGACCAGCCTGGCCAACATGGTAAATACCCATCTCGGGCCAGGTGTGGTGGCTCAGGCCTGTAATCCCAGCACTTTGGGAGGCTGAGGTGGGCGGATCACCTGAGGTCAGGAGTTCAAGACCAGCCTGGCCAACATGGTGAAACCTCATCTCTTTAAAAATAAATAAATAAACAAAAATTTAAAAAGCAAAGAAAACCCCCGTCTTTACTAAAAATACAAAAATTGGCTGGGTGTGGTGGTGCATGCCTGTAATACTAGCTATTCGGGAGGCTGAAGCAAGAGAAGTGCTTGAACCCGGTAGGTCGAGGTTGAAGTGAACTGAGATCCTACCAGTGCACTCCAGCCTGGGCAACAGAGCGAGACTCTGTCTCAAAAAAATAACAAAAAAAACTGGTGTCAGATATCAAATTGGTTTGTCTTGGTTATGTTGATAATCACAATACCTATCATCTTCCTAAACCTTTGTTGTTTTGATATTGTGTAATATACATAAATGGTGGTGGGAGAGACTATTCCAGCCAATACACTTGGTATGTTCCCCAGTTCTTTTTATTCATAAGTAATCACCCTTTGTCGTTTGTGGCCTTTTGTGCTTTAATGTTATCTGAAGAATAAGAATGATAAAATATTGGCTGGGCCCGGTGACTCATGCTTGTAATCCCAGCACTCTGGGAAACCAAGGTTGGTGAGTCACCTGAGGTCAGGAGTTGGAGACCAGCCTGGCCAACATGACATAACCCCATCTCTACTCAAAAAAAAGAAAATTTAGCTGGTGGTGATAGCAGGTGTCTATAATCCCAGCTGCTCGGGAGGCTGCGGCAGAATTGCTTAAACCTGGGAGGCAGAGGTTGTAGTGAGTTGATATTGTGCCTCTGCACTCCAGCCTAGGTGACAGAGTGAGACTCTGTCTTAAAAAAGAAAAAAAAAAGAGAAGCCGGGTGCGGTGGCTCAAGCCTGTAATCCCAGCACTTTGGGTGGCCGAGGCAGGTGGATCACGAGGTCAAGAGATCGAGACCATCCGGGTCAACATGGTGAAACCCCGTCTCTACTAAAAATACAAAAAAATTAGCTGGGCATGGTGGCATGTGCCTGTAATCCCAGCTACTCAGGAGGCTGAGGCAGGAGAATTGCCTGAAGCCAGGAGGCGGAGGTTGCGGTGAGCCGAGATGGCGCAAAAATAAATAAATAAATAAAAATTTAAAAATAGAAACCAAAAAAAAAGGCTCTCAAAGATAGCAAACAACAAGAAGAGAAAGAAGGTATTCTTTTTATTTTTATTTTTTTTTTGAGACGGAGTTTCGCTCTTGTTACCCGGGCTGGAGCGCAATGGCGCGATCTCGGCTCACCAGAACCTCCGCCTCCTGGGTTCAGGCAATTCTCCTGCCTCAGCCTCCTGAGTAGCTGGGATTACAGGCGCGCACCACCATGCCCAGCTAATTTTTGTATTTTTAGTAGAGACGGGGTTTCACCATGTTGACCAGTATGGTCTCGATCTCTTGACATCGTGATCCACCCACCTCGCTCGGCCTCCCAAAGTGCTGGGATTATAGGCGTGAGCCACCGCGCCCGGCTGGGATTCTTTTTTTTTTGGTAGTTTGAGAAGGAGTCTCACTCGAGAGTCAGTGGTGAGATCTCGGCTTACTGCAACTTCCACCTCCCTGGTTCAAGTGATTCTCCTGCCTGAGGCTCCTGCGTAGCTGGGATTACAGGCGCTTGCCACAACGCCCAGCTAATTTTTTGTGTTTTTAGTAGAGATGGGGTTTCGCCACCTTGGCCAGGATGGTCTCAAAATCTTGAACTTGTTATCTGCCTGCCTCAGCCTCTGAAAGTTCGGGGATTACAGGCGTGTGCCACCACGCCTCGCATTCTTTCTTTTTTCTTTCAAGGATGTCCTAGGATTTTTTTTTTTTTTCTAGAAGGGAGTCTCACTTTGTTTCCTAGGCTGAAGTGCAATGGCACAATCTCATCCCACTGCAGCCTCAGCCTCCTGAGTAACTGTGATTACAGGCGTGTGGCACCACACCCAGCTAATTTTTGTATTTTATTAGAGATGGGGTTTCACCATGTTAGTTAGGCTGTTCTTGAACTTCTGACCTCGTGATCCATCTGCCTCAGCCTCCCAAAGTGCTGGGATTACAGTTGTAAGCCACCGCGCCCAGCTGAAAGACGAGAGTTTTACTAAAAGGAAGAAGATTTAACAGAGAGCATTGTACTGGCAGTGTCCTCCAGGATACCCATGGTTAGTTGTGACTGAGATATCTGGGAGGCTGCAGACAAGGTCAGTTCGCCTACTGAAGCTGCCAGCCCGATACCTACCCTATCTGACCTGAAAGGAAAGGAGTTTAAGATAGGAAAGGTTGAAGGGATTGAGGGGTTAGGCGGGAAAGGGTAGAGGAGATGGCCTCAAGTATAAACACTGAGGGGGCCTGCCCCAAGGTGGAAATCTAAAATAATATCCACTTGTCCAGCTGAATTATTCCAGACAAGGTGAAGATGACTGACCCCCACCCCACTAAGAAATGTCTCTTTTTTTTTTTTTTTTTTGGGGGGGGGGAGGAAGGCAGGAAGGAAGGGAAGAAGGACGGTAGGGAGGAAGGAAGGGATGAAGGAAGGAAGGGAGGAAGCGGGGAGGGAGGGAGGGAGGGAAGGGAAGAAAGGAAATCAAGCAATGAAAGAGACATTGCCGACCAGGATCTAGAGGTTTACAAGTTGATTTCTTTTTTTTTTCAGAGAAGGAAAGAAAAAAATAATAATAATAAGTAAAGGAGAGGAAGAGAAAGAGGGAGAGTAAATGGAAATATTGCTTTATTTTGAAAAACATTGGGTATTAATAATGGCCAATCAATGTTTCATTTAAACTAATGGGTAGGTGTGATGTGGTATTGACAAGAATGTATATTTTGTGTATTTGAAGTGGAGAGCTCTATAAATATTTATTAAGTTTACTTGTTCTGGATCTGAGTTCGAGTCCTTGATATCCTTATTAGTTTTCTGTCTCATTGAATCTAAGTCTCCTATCTGGGTGTTAGGATCGTTAGCTCTTGTTGTTGCATTGATCCTTTTACCACTATATCTTTGTTGCTTTAAAATCTATTTTATCCGATACAAGAATTGCAACTCCTGCTTTTTATTTATTTATTATTTATTTTTGCTCTCCATTTGGTTGGTAAATCTTTCTCCATCCCTTTGTTTTGAGTCTTTGTGTATCCTTGCATGTGAAACAGGTCTGGATGTAACATGCCGTTGGGTTTGGGCTGTGTCTTTTGATTGGGAATTTAGTCAATTTAAATTTAGGGTTACTGCCATTTGATGTTGACTGGCTGTTTTATCCATTCGTTGGTGTAAATTCTTCTTTATGTTGGTGCTCTTTACTTTTTGGTGTATTTTTAGAAAGGCTAATACTGGTTGTTTCTTTCTGTGTGTAATGCTTCTTTCAGAAGCTCTTGTAAAGCAGGCCTGGTGGTAATAAAATCTCTGAGTTCTTGCTTGTTCATAAAAGATTTTATTTTTCCTTCAGTTGTGAAACTTAGTTTGGCTGGATATGAAATTCTGGGCTGAAGGTTCTGTTCTTTGAGGATGTTGAATATTGGCCCCCACTCTCTTCTGGCCTGTAGAGTTTCTGCCGAGAGATCTGCTGTAAGTCTGATAGGCTTGCCTTTGTGGGTAATCTGACCTTTCTCTCTGGCTGCCCTTAGTATCCTCTCCTTCGTTTCAACCCTCGTGAATCTAACGATTATGTGCCTTGGGATTGCTCTTCTTGAGGAATATCTTTGTGGTGTTCTCTGTATTACCTGGGGTTGAATGTTGACCTGCTTTGCTAGTTTAGGAAAATTTTCCTTAATCATATCCTGAAGGGTATTTTCCAGCTTGGATTCATTCTCTCTGTCGCATTCAGGTACACCTATCAAACGTAAATTTGGTCTTTTCACATAGTCCCACATTTCTTGGAGACTTTGCTCATTCCTTTTTATCCTTTTTTCTCTAATCTTTTCTTCATGTTTTATTTCATTAAGTTGGACTTTGACCTCTGATATCCCTTCTTCTGCTTGAACAATTCGAGTGTTTAAACCTGTGCATACTTCTCGGAGTTCCTGTATTGTATTCTTCGGTTCCATTAATTCACTCATACTCCTCTCTAAGTTGTCTATTCTCAATAGGATTTCATCAAACCTTTTTTCAAAGTTCCTAGTTTCTTTACGTTGGGCTACAACATGTTCTTTTAACTCACCGAAGTTTGTTATTATCCATTCCTTGAAGAGTGATTCTGTCATCAGGAGGCGCTGGTTCTCCATCAAGCCTTGTTCCATTGTTGATGTGGAACTGTGATCATCTTTAGAGGGAGAGGCGTTCTGACTTTGAGTATTCTCAGCTTTTTTACGCTGGTTTCTTCCCGTCATTGTAAATTTATCCTCCTGTTGTCTTTGAAATTACCAATCTTCAGATTAGGTCTCTTGAGTGGACGTCCAGGTTGTTAGTTCCCAGGGCCAGAGCAGCGGCGTTAAAACTGATGGTGCTTTTCTGCCCAGGATTCTCCTGTCGGGCTTCCTTCTTGTTTCCGTAGTAGGCGACTCTGCCTTCCCGGGGCTCCAAACCTCGGTCAGAAGGGGAAATGGTCCTGTTTACTCTGCGCCGAGCCGTGCCGAGGTGCCGGCGGAACCGCTGCGCCGACCACGAGAGTCGCGCTGGCGACTCGTGTGTTTCCACCACTGGGGGATCTTCTGCTCCGTGAGCGACCAGACTTTGTCTGAAAGTGTGGCGTCCTCTAGTTCTCCGCGCCTTCCCTGAGAGCTGCAATCCCGGGATGTTAGCGATCCGCCATCTTCCGGCTTCTGCTCAGAAATGTCTCTTATATGTTGGGTTTATAGTGAGCTGAGTGTTCTTTCTTCCCCTGCCTGGGGGTTAGGGATAGCAGAACAGTATTTAATAAACAGAAGACTCAAATGGGGCCAGGATGCACTGGGTAGATCCAGTAGGTTACATGGTCCTGAGAGAGAAGAGACTCAAAGAGCAGCCCAGCAGTGAAGACACAAACTACCACCCCCACCACTACTCGGGCTTCCGTGGAGTCTGGGGTACAGGTCAGACTACACTGTATTTGTTTCCAAATTAAGCAGTTCTTAGTCATCCTACCCGAGCCTGTGCTTTCTCTGCCCTCCCAGTTCTTGGTGGAATTTTATGCCTATCTTTACCTGGTACAGGTTTTTAAATGTTTCCAAACTGACTACCCAGTTTCTCTTAACTTCTTCCAGAGAAAAAAAAGAAAAAGAAAAACTTCTTTCTTCCCCAATTCTCTTGCCACTTTTACCAAGTTAACTTCACATCCTTACCTCTAGATAAGTTCTTTAGTATAATCTAGTCCCTGGTCTTCCCAATTTTTTTTTTTTTTTTTTTTTGAGACGGAGTTTCGCTCTTGTTGCCCAGGCTGGAGTGCAAATTCTCGGCTCACCAAAACCTCCAACTCCTGGGTTCAAGTGATTCTCCTGTTTTAGCCTCCCAAGTAGGTGGGATTACAGGCATGTGTCACCATGTCCAGCTAATTTTTTGTATTTAACAGAGACAGAGTTTCACCATGTTGGCCAGGATGCTCTCGATCTCTTTGACCTCATGATCCACCTACCTTGGCCTCTCAAAGTCCTGGGATTGCAGGCGTGAGCCACCGCGCCCGGCCGGTCTTGTTAATTAATCTCCTAAATCTCATTTGATTTTTATCTTTTTCATACCACTCATAGGTCAAATTCTCCTAATAGAGCTCCATAGTTCATAAGAAACAGTCGTCAATCACAAGCTATAAGGACTATTCTCTCTTCCTTGTCCTCTCTCCCTCCAGGTCACCCCAGCTCTGATCTTTGCTATCACAGTTGCTACAATTGGCTCTTTCCAATTTGGCTACAACACTGGGGTCATCAACGCTCCTGAGATGGTGAGTGCCAGGCCACAAGAATTAGAACCTGGAATAGGGAAGTTATTCCTTGAAGTAGAATTTGAAGAATTCAAAATTAAGGGTCAGGCACAGTGGCACCTACCTGGGGTCCCAGCTACTCCAGAGGCTGAGGCCTAAAGATCACTTGAGCCCAGGAGTTAAACACCATCCTGGGCAACACAGTTAGTGAGGGTCCCTCCCTCCCCTAGGGGAATTTGAAACAAACTTTGTATCTATCCTGGCCAAGGCTGAAGATAGAGACAATATGGCTGGGAAATCTAGTGTGGTCATTTAATCAAAGCAGAATGCTCACTTACTCCCTGTACCCTGGGAGGGGCTGTTCTTCCTCCCACTTTCTCACCCCATAGTGACACACTTCCTATATCATCCCTTCAGGGTTGGTTACAAAGCAGCTGGGTCCCCTTACCAATGGGTTGGGGTAGTCTGTGAGCATCGGTGCTGCCACCTAGTGGGATTTTCAGGACAAATAAAAAAATTACTATTCCAGAGAATTAACATTAACTCCAATATGTTACCTGCCTCTTCCACTCCCATCTATTTATTCCCTTGATCTCTAGGAAGGAAATGATCCCTAATATTTGTGTTTTTTGTTCTCATCTAACTGCAACAGTCTTCCCTCCCACCAACCCTTTTATTTTGCAGATCATAAAGGAATTTGTCAATAACACTTTGAAGAACAAGAAAAATGCCCCTCCTTCTGAGTTGTTGCTCACGTCCCTCTGGTCCTTGTCCGTGGCCATATTCTCCGTCGGTGGTATGATTGGCTCCTTTTCCGTCGGACTCTTTGTCAATCGCTTTGGCAGGTATTGACTAGAAACTGGGCAAGGAAGTGGGCTCTACCACATGCACTGAGGACAAGCATGGAGACTCAGGGCAGGGAGGTGATGATGCCTTTGAATTTGAACGCCTTGATTTCTAATCAAGGGAAACCTAGTCCAATGAGCCCTGAATATGACTGCCCTTGCTTGGAGCTCTGCTACCCTCCATAGCTCCCACCTAGCTGTGCAGGAGATGAGCTGTGTGAGTGACTGGCTTTTGCAGCCCAGCTAGGGCTCGTTCAGAATTATTCTCTAGTAAGCTCAACTATGGGGTTTCCGGAAACATACTTAATTCTCAAGGTCCAAAGTTGTTTACTTTTATTTAAAAAATTGAGGTTTCATATAAATGTTTTTATTATTTTACACAGGATTGATAGGAATTATTCTTATAATTTTTAGTCTATGACAAATGTGGATAATGACCAAAAAAACTGAATCTTCTTATTCTATACTAGCTTAACAATATGTTTACAAGGTAGAATATATTTTTTAGTTAAGACTGATGAAGGACAGCCGGGCGCGGTGGCTCACGCCTGTAATCCCAGCACTTTGGGAGGCTGAGGTGGATGGATCACCTGAGGTCAGGAGTTTGAGACCAGCCTGACCAATATTGTGAAACCTTGTCTAAAAAAAAAAAAAGACTGGTGAAGAAACTGTTTGAATTTGCCAAGTAGGCTGGGCTCAATGGCTTATGCCTGTAATCCTAGCACTTTGGGAGGCTGAGGCAGGTGGATCACCTGAGATCAGGAGTTTGAGACCAGCCTGGCCAACATGGCAAAACCCTGGATGTGATTGTGTGGGCCTGTGATCCCAGCTATTAAGGAGGCTGAGGCAAGATAATCACTTGAACCTGGGGAGGGCAGGAGGTGGTAGAGGTTGCAGTGAGCAGAGGTCTGGCCACTTCACTCCACCCTGGGGGAAAGAGTGAAACTTTATCACAAAAAAAAATTGCACGTAGATACTCTAGAAATGCAAATGGAATTCACATTTAAAAATGGATAAAGCAAAGAGAGAAAAACAAAACAAAAATGGATAAAGCATCCTATTCCACTTGATTATGTTGGTCTTCCCCCACCACCACCACAAGAAAGAGGGTCTTGCTCTGTCACCCAGGCTGGAGCAATCATAGCTCACTACAGCCTCGACCTCCCACCTCTGCTCCCTGAGTAGCTGGGACTACATACAGGCCAGCACCATCATGGCCTGGCTTCCAACTAGAAATATTCTGATAATAGAAAGTGAAAAGGTAAAGTTAGCCAAAAAAAAAAGACAACATGAGCCTGGAGAAGAGCAGAATAGTGAGGACAAGGGAGGCGAGATCAGGAGCCTCTCACTTTGCTAACCCTACTTTGTCTTTTGCTAACCTTACAGGCGCAATTCAATGCTGATTGTCAACCTGCTGGCTGTCACCGGTGGCTGCCTTATGGGACTGTGTAAAATGGCTGAGTCGGTGGAAATGCTGATCCTGGGCCGCTTGGTTATTGGCCTCTTCTGCGGACTGTGCACAGGTTTTGTGCCCATGTACATTGGAGAGATCTCGCCTACTGCCCTGCGGGGTGCCTTTGGCACTCTCAACCAGCTGGGAATCGTTGTCGGAATTCTGGTGGCCCAGGTACTGTAGAGAAGTTCTCATGCCTGATGAGTGTGTGTTTCATGGGTCATTTAAAAAGTTGGCCGGGCGCGGTGGCTCACACCTATAATCCCAGCACTTTGGGAGGCCAAGGCGGGTGGATCACGAGGTCAAGAGATCAAGACCATCCTGGTCAACAAGGTGAAACACTGTCTCTACTAAAAATACAAAAATTGCTGGGCATGGTGGCACACACCTGTAGCCCCAGCTACTCGAAAGGCTGAGGCAGGAGAATTGCTTGAACCCAGGAGGCAGAGGTTGCGGTGAGCCCAGATTGTGCCATTGGACTCCAGCCTGGGCAACAAGAGCGAAACAACGTCTCAAAACAAAAAACAAACGAACAAAAAAAAGTTAACATAGTTAAAGCACTGAAGAATATCTGGCCCATGTTTGATTATATAAGGAAGTTTTAGATATTGTTACTATAGCTCATAAATAGTAGGAAGCAGGCTGAGGAAAGGAAAAGAAACATAATTTTTTCCCATGGTAAAAGAATGGTTTTCTGAGCTTTTTATTTTTTAATGAACTTGTAGCCTTGGGTTTATGGCATTGTCTTGTGTGGTTTCTAGATCTTTGGTCTGGAATTCATCCTTGGGTCTGAAGTGCTGTGGCCAGTGTTACTGGGCTTTACCATCCTTCCTGCTATCCTACAAAGTGCAGCCCTTCCATTTTGCCCTGAAAGTCCCAGATTTTTGCTCATTAACAGAAAAGAAGAAGAGAATGCTAAGCAGAGTGAGTATCCTTTGCGCCTTACCATATGAATTATATGGATCTGGTTTGTTTTAGGGATGAGGGTACTGGACCTATTTTGTGTTGGTGTACCCTTTCCCTGCCCCTCAGAATCCAAGTGAAGAGGGTCCTGATTACTCTTGAGTAAAATTTTCAGCTCCTAAAGAATGAGATGAGAAGGCAGGTTTAGGAATGGATGCTATCAGGCCAGGAGTGGTGACTCACGCCTGTAATCCCAGCACTTTGGGAGGCCAAGCGGACAGATCACCTGAAGTCGAGAGTTTGAGACCAGCCTGATCAACAGGAGAAACCCCATCTCTACTAAAAATACAAAATTAGCCAGGCATAATACCAGCTACTTGGAAGGCTGAGGCAGGAGAATCTCTTGAACTCAGGAGGTGGGGGTTGCAGTTAGCCAAGATTCCGCCATTGCACTCCAGCCTGGGCAACAAGAGCGAAACTGTCTCAAAAAAAAAAAGAAGACCGGGCGTGGTGGCGCGTGCCTGTAGTCCCAGCTACTCGGGAGGCTGAGGTGGGAGGATCGCTTGAGCCCAGGAGTTCTGGGCTGTAGTGCACTATGCCTATCAGGTGTCCACACTAAGTTCGGCATCAATATGGTGACCTCCTGGGATTATATATGGAATATATATCCGGTTCACCCCACGTTGCCTAAGGAGGGGTGAACCGGCCCAGGTCAGAAACGGAGGAGGTCAAAACTCCCGTGCTGATCAGTAGTGGGATCACGCCTGTGAATAGTCACTGTACTCCAGCCTGGGCAACATAGCGAGACCCAGTCTGAAAAAAAAAAAAAAAAAAAAAAAGGAATGGATGCTATTGATCACCTCATCTCCTTCAGCCCTTTCCTAGATGCCTTACAGGAAGAATGAATTTGGAAATTACATTGTCTTTATCCTTTCCTCTTTATTCTTTTTACCAGTCCTCCAGCGGTTGTGGGGCACCCAGGATGTATCCCAAGACATCCAGGAGATGAAAGAGGAGAGTGCAAGGATGTCACAAGAAAAGCAAGTCACCGTGCTGGAGCTCTTTAGAGTATCCAGCTACCGACAGCCCATCATCATTTCCATCGTGCTCCAGCTCTCTCAGCAGCTCTCTGGAATCAATGCTGTGAGTATGATACCTTAGGGTCAAAGGTGTCTTACAAGATTTCATTTAAAATGCTGGGCATGGTGGCAATGTGCATGTAGTCCCAGCTACTCAGGAGGCTGAGATAAGAGGACTTGAGCTCAGGAATTTGAGCCTGCAGTGAGCTATAATTATGCCACTGCACTCCAGCCTGGGAGACAGAGTGAGACTCTGTCTCTGAAATTTAATAAAAGGGGGAAAAAAAGAGCCTGGAAAGACACTGGCAACTTCAAACTGAACTGACTTTACCAGTCTATTTGTTTTTATAATTAGAATTGGGAGCGTGATAGTTTAAAGAGGGTGACAAAACGGAAGCCAGCATTTGGCAGGTAGCCCTTGTATTCCATGCAAATATGAGCTTCCTGCATTTAAGTGTGGAGTGTGGATTGTGGGAAGAGAGTGTTCCTTTGCCTAGTCAATTGGGGATAAAATATGAATATGAAGACCACCCTTGTCCCACCTTTTAAAATACTGATTCATCTCCCTGAGATTTTTCCTTTAGTCTTTGATCAATGGGATTAAATCATTTTGTAATAAAACATTTTGCAAAACACATGTGATGTTCACAGTAGTAAGTTAATTCTTGGCCTTTTATCCTACCTAACACGCCAGGATATTTATTTGTATTTGAAGTAGCCGTAGTGCTTTTTGTGAGGGGCTAGACGCTGTTTATCAGAATGTACCAAGAGCCACCATGGTGGCTCCGAATGCCTGTAGACCCAGCTACTACTCGGGAGGCTGAGGTGGGAATAGCTCTTAAGCCCAGGAGTCAAGCCTGGGCAATATAGCTTGACTTTGTTTTGTTTTGGAGACCGAGTTTCACTCTTGTTGCCCAGGCTGGAGTGCAATGCCATGATCTCGGCCCACTGCAACCTCCAACTCTGGGGTTCAAGCGATTCTCCTACCTCAGCCTCCTGAGTAGCTGGGATTACAGGCATGTGCCACCACATCTAGCTAATTTTGTATATTTTTTTTTTTTTTGAGACGGAGTTTCGCTCTTGTTACCCAGGCTGGAGTGCAATGGCGCGATCTCGGCTCACCGCAACCTCCGCCTCCTGGGTTCAGGCAATTCTCCTGCCTCAGCCTCCTGAGTAGCTGGGATTACAGGCATGCGCCGCCATGTCTAGCTAATTTTTTGTATTTTTAGTAGAGACGGGGTTTCACCATGTTGACCAGGATGGTCTCGATCTCCTGACCTCGTGATCCACCCGCCTCGGCCTCCCAAAGTGCTGGGATTACAGATTTGAGCCACCGTGCCCAGCCTAATTTTGTATTTTTAGTAGAGATGGGATTTCTCCATGTTTGTCAGGCTGATCTTGAACTCCAGACCTCAGGTGATCCATGCATCTCGGTCTCACAAAGTGCTAGGATTACAAACATGAGCCATCATGTGTAGCTTGACCCTGTCTTAAAAAAACTAAAAGAAAAAAAAAATTTTGAGGAAATACACAATAGTTTGAAAAGCCCTCATAGGTAATTTTGATGAATCCCATTCTCAAATTTCCTCATTAGGAAATGACAATGTAGGCCACACGTATTACAGGAGAAAAATATGCTCTGAGACTTTGCCGAGCAGCAGAGCTGAAACTAGGCAGGAGAGGTAGCTAAGTGCAAATGTAGCTCTAAGAATGAGCACCTGTTTAGAGAATGTACCTTGCATTTGTCTGTGCCTATTTAAAAAAGAAAAAAAGAATGCCCCTGAGGCAACTCCCAGCTGTCTGTCTCACCACAGTCCTGGCCGGCAAAACAGGATCAGGAGAGGATCACCTGTGAGGAATGACAGATGATCCATGAGCAGTCTGATAAAAGATCACCTGTGAGAAATTACAGATGATTCATGAGCACTCTGATGGACAGACTCCTGCCGCTTCAGAGTATGGTATATACATTTTTTGCGGGGGTAGGGGGCGAAGTCTTGCTCTGTCCCCCAGGCTGGAGTGCTGTGGTGCAATCTCAGCTCACCACACCTCCATCTCCTGGGTTCATGTAATTCTCCTGCCTCAACCTCCCAAGTAGATGGGAAGCTGAGATTATAGGCACCCACCACCAAGCCTGGCTAATTTTTTTGTATTTTTAGTAGAGACGGGTTTTCACCGTGTTGGCCAGGCTGGTCTCGAACTCCTGACCTGGTGTGATCTAACCACCTCAGCCTCCCAAAGTGCTGGCTATGTGACTTGCCATACCCAGCATGGACCTTAATTATTGTTGGACTAAGGTGGTTCCCATTTTAGTCAATGAGCAGATTTTGCTCCAGGTATAATCTCACTCAAAGATGACTGCACCAGAATTATGGGGGATGGGATTCCTAAGTGCTGAATTGGAGAATCTCTGTGTAAGAGGCCTGAACATTGTCTGCAAAAAAATAAATCTGATGCATAGCAGGCTTAGAAATCACTTTGCCAACCTACTTTCGCACAAACTATGTTTTCTAATTTTCCTTACTAGCAAATGGGTAAGAGGTTGCATTGTATCATATTTACCTAGCAGAGTAAACTATTTTTAGGTGAAATGATGTAGGGGTTAGCATATCTAGCTTGATGGTACTACATAGCAAAGTCATTTTACTGTAACAAGTTTTTTGGGTTTTTTTTTTTTTTTTGAGACAGAGTCTTGCTCTGTCACCCAGACTGGAGTGCACTGGCACAATCCCAGCTCACTGCAACCTCCACCTCCAGGGTTCAAGCGATTCTCCTGCCTCAGCCTCCTGAGTAGTTGGAGGCCTGTGCCACCACCCCCAGCTAATTTTTTTTGTATTTTTAGTAGAGATGGGGTTTCACTGTTTGCCAGGCTGGTCTCAAATGTCTGACTTCATGATCTGCCCACCTGGGCCTACCAAAGTGTTGGGATTACAGGCGTGAACCACTGTGCCTGGCCTAAAAGAAGTTTTATTGAGATGTGTACATGTACATTAGGTATTGGATGTATCGACATTGTGATAAGGAAGCTAATTGGCTTAACTATTTAGTGCTTGTTTAAGCTGCTCAAGTAATTACTTTTGCACCAACCTAATATCTTTCCCCACAAGCTTGACGTCATCATATAAAATGTTGGGATTTTGTAGTTGTTGTTGTTGTTTTAAGGAGCGGAGAGTTTAATAGGCAAGAAATAAGTCTTAATTAGCTCTAGAGGAGCAATTTTCAATGATGACTCTACAAATGTCAGTTTCAAAAACAATTATCTTATTTTAGAAAATATAAATATAATACATCTTACATACTAGCGATTTAAAGATTTGTTTCTTGAAAAAGTAAATCCCAATGTAGAGATCCATATTCATCAAAAAGACTAATAAATATTGCTGTGGAAGCAAATACTCTGGGTGAAATAAACTGAAGTGAACCTGGGTAACCTAGATAATGTTCCCTTAACTGGAGGTCTGAGTCTAATATTTGTTATTATTATTATTATTATTATTATTATTATTTTGAGACGGAGTTGCACTGTTGTTACCCAGACTGGAGTGCAGTGGCACGATCTCGGCTCACTGCAACCTCCGCCTTCTGGGTTCAAGCAATTCTCCTGCCTCAGCCTCCCAAGTAGCTGGGACTACAGGCACGTACCACCATGCCAAGCCAATTTTTATAGTTTTAGTAGAGATAGGGTTTCACCTTGTTGACCAGGATGGTCTCGATCTCTTGACCTCGTGATCCACCCGCCTCAGCCTCCCAAACTGCTGCAATTATAAGCGTGAGCCACCACGCCCAGCCGTGTTTTTATTATTTTTATTTTGAGACGGAGTTTCACTCTTGTTGCCCAGGCTGGAGTGCAATGGCACGATCTTAGCTCACTGCAAAGGCCGCCCCCAGGTTCAAGGGATTCTCGTGCCTTACCCTCCCTAGTATCTGGTATAACAGGAGCCCCACAACGACACCTGGCTAATTTTGTATTTTTAGTAGAGATGCGGTTTCCTACATGTTGGTCAGGGTGGTCTCAAACTCCTGACCTCAGGTGATCCGCCCACCTAGGCTTCCCAAAGTGCTGGGATTATAGGCATGGGCCACCACACCTGGCCAAATATTTTAATGTCTCTTAACTGTGTAAGTTGCAGCAACCTTACATTTTTAGTGAAATGCCTAGCAAATAACAAACAGTAATTTATTTAACATATTACAAAGTAGCCGGTATTATTTCATAAAACACTTCAAAAGGGCCTAGGCCTGGGAAATACAGCCCAACCTTTGCTTATTCAATGAGGAGGATAGGTTATTCGATTAGTTCACTATCAAATTGAGACATCAATGTGCCTATCAATGTTTTGAAGGTTTGGGGAAGAGGCAATTCAAAAAGCATTTAGCTGGGCTCCATGGCCCATGCCTGTAATCCCAGCAACTTGAGAGGCAGAGAGGCAGGAGGATCACTCGAGACCAAGATTTTTAGACCAGCCTGGGCAACACAGTGAGTTGCTGTCTCAACTTACAAAGAAACCATGGCCAGGCTCGGTCGCTCACGCCTGTTATCCTATAATCCCAGCACTTTGGGAAGCTGAGGTGGGTGGATTAAGAAGTCAGGAGTTTAAGACCAGCCTGGCCAAGATGTCTCTACTAAAAATACAAAAATTAGCTGGCTGCAGTGGCAGGCGCCTGTAATCCTAGCTACTCGGGAGGCTAAGGCAGGAGAATTGCTTGAACCCGGGATGGACTTTGCAGTGAGCCGAGATTGTGCCATTGCACTCCGACCTGGGCAACAGAGTGAGGCTTCGGTATAAACAAAAGAAAGAAACCACTTTGTAGGAATTACACCTTCATATAAATTAGTGAAGTGAACATAAGCAAGAGTAAATGGAACAGTGGAAATAAGCATAGTTAGAAGAAACAATGGAAATGAATAGCTAAAACTGAGACCATTTAAAAGGGAAAAGGAGGGCCAGGTGTGGTAGCTCATGCCTGTAATCCCAGCACTTTTGGAGAACCAGGCAAGCGGATCACTTGAGGTCAGGAGTTCGAGACCAGCCTAGCCAACATGGCAAAAACCCAGCTCTACTTAAATTAGAAAAATTAGCTGAGCATGGTTGTGGGCTGCTTGTAGTCCCAGCTACTCAGGAGGCTGAAACAGGAGAATCACTTGACCTGGGAGGTGGAAGTTGCAACGAGCGGAGATTGTGCTACTGCACTCCAGCCTGGGTGACAGACCTAGACCTCATCTCAAAAAAGAGACAGGAGATACAGAAGATAATTCATTTGCTGAAGTGATACTAGGATTGATTGAACAAAAACACTAACAAAAGGACTTCCTGCCTCCTAAAGTTTATTTTTGAGGGTTCTGTTTAACTGGTGTGCAGAATTGTTTCAAAGTTGCATGTTTTGTTTTCTACTAGGTGTTCTATTACTCAACAGGAATCTTCAAGGACGCAGGTGTTCAAGAACCCATCTATGCCACCATCGGCGCGGGTGTGGTTAATACTATCTTCACTGTAGTTTCTGTAAGTTGGATGGTTTGATAATTTTGGGGGGAGAAAAGAATCCTTGCTACAGATGTTCAAAGATGGATTGCATGGCTCTACCATCATTTAGTTAGACCTTTTCATTGTTTCATTTTCCTTTGGAAAAAGAGATCTATTCAACGCTGGGTGTAGTCTTCACTCTTCAAGCAAATATGGGTTGGATGGGAAAGGAGGAAATATACAAGGGATTATATAGTATGCTTTCAACTTGAAATTGGAGGAGAGGTGTTTGGAAAGACTCTCAAACTGCGTTTTTCCTCTGTTTTTACACTAAAACAACAACAACAGAAGATTTCCGTGATCCCCAAAATATGTGAGGATTTTTCCCCATCAAGTATGCAATCGGTTCTGTAGTGGATACCTTCTAGGTGTCCTCTGATTTAATTCTGACACTGTCTCCCTGGAGACAGCATCACATCTCACAGGTTGATGGCCCAGTTCCCAAGAGGGCCCCCACTCTAATGCCAATCACAGGCTCCAGGCTGTCTGACCTGTGCTTCTGACCCACGAGCTCGAGATCAGGATTCCCACGATGCCCTCTTTGGGTTTGACTAATTTGCTACAGTGGGTCACAGAACTCAGGGAAATTGTTTCCTAGTTTGTTTGAAAGGATATTTTAAAGGACAGAAATAAACGATCAGATGAAGAGATTCATAGGGGGAGGTCCGGAGGGGTCCTGAGCATGGGAGTTTCTGTCTCCATGAAGTGGGTGCACTCCTAGCACTAGATGAGTTGTTGACCTTCCTGTCAGCTTCCAGGGGTTCAGATATCTGGAAGCTCCCCACACCCTGTCTTTTGGGCCTTTTATACAGACTTCATTGGTTCTCCATGATTGAAGCATGGACAAAGGTTCTGAAATGTGATTGAACAAAAAGGGTATGATCTGAACCCAGCAAGGCCTGTCTGTTTAGATTATTTGTTGGCCTCTTTGTAGGATTTCTTCCCCCAGGGAGTGGGGCAAGAGCCTCTCTGAAATGAGGGTTTTATGACCCACAGTCAGATTAGAGTCCCGCTAAGTGGGAGAGCAGGAGAAAGTCAGAGAAGAATTCTCTTTTCTGAGGCCTAATGCATCCCAACATTATAACAAAAGACTGCAGCAAGGGCTGTGGGGATTTTGAGCCAGGACCTGTGGATGGAAAGCAATATGTATCTATATAAAATCAAAAATCACAGGAGGTATATGTATAACAAGTGTTCTGCGTTAGTAAGCAGATTTCAAGTAGCTCAGACACTGTTTTCATGACAAACATTCATGTCATATTCTTTCTCTTGTAGCTATTTCTGGTGGAAAGGGCAGGAAGAAGGACTCTGCATATGATAGGCCTTGGAGGGATGGCTCTTTGTTCCCTACTCATGACTGTTTCTTTGTTATTAAAGGTGAGTGCCCTTTGAGTGAAGAAAAACAAGGGAGGGGGAGGAGAGGTTAGAGCTGACTGCTGTGACTCAAGGGTGGGTTGTTAAGGTTGAAGTTTGTCAATAAAACCAGAAGAGAGAAGTCGGATACCCAGAGTTTTTAAGAAAGGTGGGTTATCGGAGACTTGGAAATAAACTGTTACAAATCTTAGATTTATAGAACATTATTGTAGCCTATAAAATAAATTGTCTAATTCTTAATATCCAGATAATCACACTTCATAGATGATTAGGTGGTCTCAATACAAAGTGACCTATATGAGATCACAGAGACAGGATTCAAAAATCCAAGCCTGGGTTGGTGCAGTGGTTAATGCCTCTCATCACAGCACTTTTGGAAGCCAAAGTGAGAGGATTGCTTAACCCCAGAAGTTGACAACCAACCTGGGGAACATGGCAAGAAACTGTCTCTAGAAAAAAAGAAAAAACCAGGGAAGGCGCGGAGAACTAGAGGACGCCACACTTTCAGACAAAGTCTGGTCACTCACAAAGCAGAAGATCCCCCAGTGGTGGAAACACACGAGTCGCCAGCACGACTCTCATGGTCGGCGCAGCGGTTCCGCCAGCACCTCGACGCGGCAGCGCTCGGCCGCAGAGTAAACGGGACGGGTTCCCCTTCTGACCAAGGTTTGGAGCCCCAGGAAGGCAGAGTCGCTTACTACGGAAACAAAAAGGAAGCCCGACAGAAGAATCCTGGGCAGAAAAGCACCATCAGTTTTAACGCCGCCGCTCTGGCCCTGGGAACTAACAACCTGGACGTCCACTCAAGAGACCTAATCTGAAAGTTGGTAATTTCAAAGACGACAGGAGGATAAATTTACAATGACGGGAAGAAACCAGCGTAAAAAAGCTGAGAACACTCAAAATCAGAACGCCTCTCCCTCTAAAGATGATCACAGTTCCACATCAACAATGGAACAAGGCTTGATGGAGATCGAGCGCCTCCTGATGACAGAATCACTCTTCAAGGAATGGATAATAACAAACTTCGGTGAGTTAAAAGAACATGTTGTAGCCCAACGTAAAGAAACTAGGAACTTTGAAAAGAGGTTTGATGAAATCCTATTGAGAATAGACAACTTAGAGAGGAGTATGAGTGAATTAATGGAACCGAAGAATACAATACAGGAACTCCGAGAAGTATGCACAGGTTTAAACACTCGAATTGTTCAAGCAGAAGAAGGGATATCAGAGGTCAAAGTCCAACTTAATGAAATAAAACATAAAGAAAAGATTAGAGAAAAAAGGATAAAAAGGAATGAGCAAAGTCTCCAAGAAATGTGGGACTATGTGAAAAGACCAAATTTACGTTTGATAGGTGTACCTGAATGCGACGGAGAGAATGAATCCAAGCTGGAAAATACCCTTCAGGATATGATTCAGGAAAATTTTCCTAAACTAGCAAAGCAGGTCAACATTCAACCCCAGGTAATACAGAGAACACCACAAAGATATTCTTCAAGAAGAGCAACCCCAAGGCACATAATCATTAGATTCACCAGGGTTGAAATGAAGGAGAAGATACTAAGGGCAGCCAGAGAGAAAGGTCAGATAACCCACAAAGGCAAGCCTATCAGACTTACAGCAGATCTCTCGGCAGAAACTCTACAGGCCAGAAGAGAGTGGGGGCCAATATTCAACATCCTCAAAGAACAGAACCTTCAGCCCAGAATTTCATATCCAGCCAAACTAAGCTTCACAACTGAAGGAAAAATAAAATCTTTTATGAACAAGCAAGAACTCAGAGATTTTATTACCACCAGGCCTGCTTTACAAGAGCTTCTGAAAGAAGCATTACACACAGAAAGAAACAACCAGTATTAATTAGCCTTTCTAAAAATACACCAAAAAGTAAAGAGCACCAACATAAAGAAGAATTTGCACCAACGAATGGATAAAACAGCCAGTCAACATCAAATGGCAGTAACCCTAAATTTAAATTGACTAAATTCCCAATCAAAAGACACAGCCCAAACCCAACGGCATGTTACATCCAGACCTGTTTCACATGCAAGGATACACAAAGACTCAAAACAAAGGGATGGAGAAAGATTTACCAACCAAATGGAGAGCAAAAATAAATAATAAATAAATAAAAAGCAGGAGTTGCAATTCTCGTATCAGATAAAATAGATTTTAAAGCAACAAAGATATAGTGGTAAAAGGATCAATGCAACAACAAGAGCTAATGATCCTAACACCCAGATAGGAGACTTAGATTCAATGAGACAGAAAATTAATAAGGATATCAAGGACTCGAACTCAGATCCAGAACAAGTAAACTTAATAAATATTTATAGAGCTCTCCACTTCAAATACACAAAATATACATTCTTGTAAATACCACATCACACCTACCTATAAGTTTAAATGAAACATTGATTGGCTATTATTAATACCCAATGTTTTTCAAAATAAAGCAATATTTCCATTTACTCTCCCTCTTTCTCTTCCTCTCCTTTACTTATTATTTTTTTTTTCTTTCCTTCTCTCAAAAAAAAAGAAATCAACGTGTAAACCTCTAGATCCTGGTCGGCAATGTCTCTTTCATTGCTTGATTTCCTTTCTTCCCTTCCCTCCCTCCCTCCTCCCCGCTTCCTCCCTTCCTTCCTTCCTTCCTTCATCCCTTCCTTCCTCCCTACCGTCCTTCTTCCCTTCCTTCCTGCCTTCCTCCCCCCCCCAAAAAAAAAAAAAAAAAAGAAAAAAAAACCCAAAGTGGTTTTTTTTTTTTTTTTTTGAGACAGGGTTTCACTCTGTCACCCAGGCTGGAGTGCAGTGGTTGCAATCACTCACTGCAACCTCTGCCTCCTGGGCTTGGTGTTTCTGCTGCCTCAGCCTCCTGCTCGGTAGCTGGAATTACAGGCACCTGCCACCATGCCCAGCTAATTTTTTGTACTTTTTTTTTCTTTTTCAGCACAAAAACCTGAATAATTTTTTTTTTCTTTTTCTTTTCGTACTTTTTAGTGGAGACAGGTTTCACCATGTTGGCCAGGCTGGTCTCCAACTCCTGACCTCAAATAATACAAAAATTAGCTGGGACACACCTGTCATCCCAGATACACACCTGGCCTCCTAAAGTGCTGGGATAACAGGCATGAGCCACAGCACCCAGCCAAAAAAAAAAAATTTTTTTTTTGTTTTTTGACACAGAGTTTCACTCTTGTTGCCCAGGCTGGAGTTTAATGGTGGTATTTGGCTCACTGCAACCTCCGCCTCCCAAGTTCAGGACATTTTCCTTCCTCAGCCTCCCTAGTAGCTTAGATTATAGGCATGTGCCACCATACCTGGCTAATTTTGTATTTTTAGTAGAGACCAGGTTTCCCAATGTTGGTCAGGCTGGTTTTGAACTTTTGACCTCAGGTTATCTGCCCACCTCATCCTCCCAAAGTGCTGGGATTACAGGCATGAGCCACCACACCCGGCAAAATAAAATTCTTTTTAATTAGCCAGGTGTGGTGGCACATGCCTCAAGTCCCGGCTATTTGAGAGGCTGAGGTGGGAGAATCGCTTAAGACCAGTAGATTGATGATGCAGTGAGCCGTTATAGTGCCACTGCAGTCCAACCTGGGCAACAGAGTAAGAGGCTGTCTCAAAAAATAAAAATAAGCCAGACACGGTAGCTTATGCCTGTAATCCCAGCGTTTTGGGAGGCTGAGGCAGGCGGATCACGAGGTCAGGACATCGAGACCATTCTGGCTAACACAGTGAAACCCCGTCTCTACTAAAAATACAAAAAATTACTCAGGCATGGTGGCACATGCCTGTAGTTCCAGCTACTCCAGAGGCTGAGGCAGGGGAATCGCTTGAGCCCGGGAGTTGGAGTTTGCACTGAACCAACATCGCATCACTGCACTCCAGCCTGGATGACGGAGTGAGGAGCGAGACTCCATCTCAAAAAATAAAAATAAATCCAAGCCTTTTGACTTGACAGCCACTTTTGGTACTGTAGGCCGGGACAGTAGGAGGTTGCCATTAATTGTGTCTGGGAACCTAGACCCTGGGTCATGCTGTCTTTATATTTAATTTTCTCTGTTCCTTCCTCTTACAGGATAACTATAATGGCATGAGCTTTGTCTGTATTGGGGCTATCTTGGTCTTTGTGGCCTTCTTTGAAATTGGACCAGGCCCCATTCCCTGGTTTATTGTGGCCGAACTCTTCAGCCAGGGCCCCCGCCCAGCTGCGATGGCAGTGGCCGGCTGCTCCAACTGGACCTCCAACTTCCTAGTCGGACTGCTCTTCCCCTCTGCTGCTGTAAGTGAACTCACCTTATCTTAAAACCAGCCTTCCAAAGCTGACATGTTGAAGATACATCTTAATACAGTAGTCCCGCTGGGTTTGGTGGCTCATGCCTGTAATCCTAGCACTTTGGGAGGTGGAGGCAGATAGATCACCTGAGGTCAGGAGTGAGACCAGACTGGACAATATGGCAAAACCCATCTCTACTAAAAATACAAAAATTAGCTGGGACACACCTGTCATCCCAGATACTTGGGAGGCTAAGGAAAGAGAATAGCTCAAACCCAGGAGGCAGAGGTTGCAATGAGTGGAGATCATGCCAGTGCACTCCAGTCTGGGTGACAGGAGCAAGACTCCATCTCAAAAAATAAATAAATAAGTCCAGGTGCAGTGGCTCACACATGTAATCTCAGCACTGTGGGAGGCCTAGGCGAGTGGATCACAAGGTCAGGAGTTCAAGTCCAGTCCGACAAATATGGTGAAACCACATCTCTACTAAAAATACAAAAAAGCTGGGGGCTGGGCACACTGACTCATTCCTGTAATCCAAGCACTTTGGAAGCCAAGGTGGGTGATCCTGAGGTCGGGAGTTCAAGACCAGCCTGACCAACATGGTGAAACCCTGTCTTCAAAAAAAAAAGTAATAATTAATTTATTTATTCATAAAAGAAGAATAAAAATTTTTTAAAAAAATGAAAAAATTAGCAGGGTGTGGTGGTGCATGCCTGTAGTCTCAGCTACTCGGGAGGCTGAGATAGGAGAATCACTTGAACCTGGCAGGGGATGGTTGCAGTGAGCCAAAATCGTGCCACTGTACTCTAGCCCGGACAACAGAGTGATACTTCATCTCAAAAATAAATAAATAAATAAGAATAAACAATAATGCAGAAGTCCCTCTTCATCTGCAGTTTCAGTTACCTGCCATCTAAAAATATTAAATGGAAAATTCCAGAAATAAAAAATTCATAAGTTTTAAGTTGCGGCAGGGCACAGTGGCTCAAGTCTGTAATCCCAGCGCTTTGAGAGGTCCAGGTGGACAGATCACTAGAGGTCAGGAGTTCGAGACCAGCCTGACCATCATGGTAAAACCCCATCTCTACTATATACAAAAATTAGGCTGGGCATTGTGGCTTACGCCTGTAATCCCAACATTTGGGAGGCCAAAGCAGGTAGACCACCCGAGATCAGGAGTTTGAGACCAACCTGACCAACATGGTGAAACCCCATGTCTACTAAAAATACAAAACATTAGCCTTGTGTGGTGGCAGTTGCCTGTGATCTCAGCTACTCAGGAGGCTGAGGCAGGAGAACCTAGGTACTCAGGAGGCTGAGGCAAGAGAATCACTTAAACCTAGGAGGTGGAGTTCATGGTGAGATGAGAGCGTGCCACTGCTCTCCAAACTGGGTGACAGAATGAGACTTCATCTCAAAAAAAAAAAATTATAAATAAGAGACGGGTCTTGCTGTGTTGCCCAGGATGGTCCTGGCCTCAAGTGATCCTCCCACCTCAACTTCCCAAACTGCTAGGATTACAGGTGTGAACCACCACGCTTGGCCCAGAAACACAGATTTTTAAAAATAATACTTGCCAGGTATGGTGGCTCACGCCTGTAATCCCAGCACTTTGGGAGGCAGAGGCAGGTGGATCACAAGGTCAAGGGCTTGAGACTATCCTGGTCAACGTGGTGAAACCCCGTCTCTACTAAAAACACAAAAAATTAGCTGGGCATGGTGGCGCACGCCTGTAATCCCAGCTACTCAGGAGGCTGAGGGAGAAGAATTGCCTGAACCCAGGAGGCAGAGGTTGCGGTGAGCCGAGATCACGCCATTGCACTCCAGCCTGGGTAACAAGAGTGAAACTCCCTCTCAAAAAAAAAAATAGGCCGGGCACGGTGGCTCAAGCCTGTAATCCCAGCACTTTGGAAGGCCGAGGTGGGTGGATCACGAGGTCAAGAGATCAAGACCATCCTGGTCAACATTGTGAAACCCCGTCTCTACTAAAAAAAATACAAAAAATTAGCTGGGCATGGTGGCGCGTGCCTGTAATCCCAGCTACTCAGGAGGCTAAGGCAGGAGAATTGCCTGAACCCAGGAGGCGGAGGTTATGGTGAGCCAAGATCACGCCATTTCACTCCAGCCTGGGTAACAAGAGCGAAACTCCGTCTCAAAAAAAAAATACTGAAAAGTCCGAAACTACTCAGTAGACATCGAGAAGCATCTAACTAATGAAAAATGAGAGAAAGAAAAATACAGAGAAATGTATAGTAAGTTAGCAATAGAATCGTAAGTGAATCTCCTAAGAAACCTTCTGTTTTTATTAAATATGGAAGGGCTGGGGAGGGACAACGGGGGTGGGGAGTTGGGAAGAAATACCATGGGGAGAAATGCCAGATATAGTTGAAGGGGAGGAAGGCAGCAAATCACACTGCCACCTGTGTACCTATGCAGCTATCTTGCATGTTCTTCACATGTACCCCCAAACCTAAAATGCAATTTAAAAAATTATATGGAAGGGTTATACCTTGAAGCCTGTTGGAAATGTGAATGTGAAGGAAATTGAATTTGTCAATGACCAGATTTTTATGTCAACCTTCCTTTTTCTGTCCTTTCACTAGTACTATTTAGGACCCTCCGTTTTCATTATCTTCACCGGCTTCCTCGTTACCTTTTTGATCTTTACCTTCTTCAAAGTCCCTGAGACCCGTGGCAGGACTTTTGAGGATATCACACGGGCCTTTGAAGGGCAGGCACATGGTGCAAATCGATCTGGGACGCAAGGCGTTGTGGAGATGAACAGCATCAAGCCTGCTAAGGAGACCACCACCAGTGTCTAAGTCATGCCTCCTTTCACCTCCCTCCCGGCATGGGAAAGCCACCTCTCCCTGAACGTCGGAGAGATCCCATCAGGATGAACCCAGGATGGCTTCTGAATGCTGCTACGTGATTCCTTTCTTATCCCCTGCACTCCATGAGCACCCCAAGGCTGGGGTTTGTTGGATTTTTAATGGCTTTTAAAATATTTTGTTTCCTGGACATTCTCTTCTGCTTAGGAGAGACCAAGTGAACTACCTTCATTTCAGGAGGGTTGGCCACTTGGCATGTGACAACTTTGCCAGCTTTTCCTCCCTTGGGTTCTAATATTGCCCTACTAGGGGATATAGGAGAGGAAAAGTAAGGTGCAGTACTTGAAATCTAGGATTATTAACTAATATGGGCATTGTAGTTAATGGCGGTTGATGGGTTCTAATTTTGGATGGTGTCCAGGGAAGGGAAAGTTATTTCTAGAAAGCCTGTTCCCCTCACTGGACCAAACAGCTCCTCATAGTGGACTCATTACATTTGAAGTAATCCCACCACCTATCCGGTGGGAGAGCCATCCATATAAGAAACCTACAATAAGTGGTTCTTGGTAGACATTCATGATTTCTCCACTTTGTTCTTTAGGATATTTTAGGTGTTGATTTTTCTTTTATTTTAACTCATGCCTTTAAAGGAATTCCCCAAAGAATGTTTATAGCTAACTTGGAATGTGTAACCTCAGCTCTGGGAGAGGATTTTTTCTGAACGACTATTATCCGAAGTGTGTTGTTGCTTTAGGGTCACTGCCTGCTTGTGTGTGTGTCTGTTACCATGTCACTGTGGTCCTGTGCCAGGTGCCCTTAGGGGACTTGAATCTTTCCAGTAGACCACATTTGAGATAGTACGAGTCACTGTGCAGTGTAGCCACACTGAGAGGATGAATGTCCGTGCACTGTCACTTTGCTCTAGTAGGTTATTTTATTGACTTGTTTTCTCTGGGTTTGTTCCTACAGCCCCTTTTCATATGTTCCTCCATCTCCCTTTCCCTTCTTGGTGCTTACACATCTCAGACCCTTTGGCCAAACCCTTGCCAATGACAGTATTTTGGTACTCAGTTCTCACTGTTCCCTCTGGTCGTGAAGCCTTTGAATAAAAATGCACATAGCTATGGGTTTAGCTGGAAAAGGTGACCTTCCAACTTCATGTCAACTTCTGGCTCCTCAAGCAGTAGGCTGGCGGTAAGGCAGGGAAGTGTTTTCCCATTTCTCACTGAGCAGATTGTGAATGTTTTATATGGATTTTCTATGGTGAATGTTACTCAGATTCTTGGTTTTAAAATAAAAATTCTCAATGTACACAACATCACGGGCTAATTATTTACTATTTGTCCTGCCTGTAACAACAAAATCAGCTTTAAATCCTGAGTTGGCTATTCAGTACCTTTGGGACCTTGAGACTTGTATGAGACCCTATACTCATACGAGATTGTTCTTACAGTCCCGTACGTAAGAAAAGAGTAACGTATTTATTATGCAGTTAAATGAAAAAGGCTTTGTGCCTTGCTTTTTTTTTTGCGACTGAGTCTTACTCTGCCACTCAGGCTAGAGTACAGTCATGGGATCTTGACTCTGCCCCCTCCAGGTTCCAGTGATTCTCCTGCCTCAGCCTCCGGGGTAGCTGGGATTTCAGGCGCATGCTACTGTGTCCGACTAAGTTTTGTATTTTTAATACAGACGGGGTTTCACCATGTTGGCGAGGCTGGTCTCGAACTCCTTACCTCAGATGATCTGCCTGCTTCAGTCTCCCAAAGTGCTGAGATTACAGGTGTGAGCCACCGTGCCTGGCCACATTGCTTTTCATACTTGATAAATTATTTTGCTTTATTTCCCCAGTAAGAACTAGTTGGGTTGTTTGTTTTTCTCTTGTGTTATTTTCTACTTCCTTTGTCCTCCAGTTTTTTGTTTTGAGATGAAGTTTCACTCTTGTTGCCCAGGCTGGAGTGGAATGGTGTGATCTCCGCTCACTGCAACCTCAGCCTCCCAGGTTCAAGCGATTCGCCTGACTCAGCCTCCCAACTAGCTGGGACTATAGGCATGCAACACCGTGCCTAGCTAATTTTTGTAATTTTAGTAGAAACAGGGTTTCACCCTGTTGCCCAGGCTGATCTCGAACAGGTGGAGGCTGCAGTGAATGGAGATCACACCATTGCACTCCAGCCTGGGTAATGAGTGAAACTCTGTCTCAAAAAAAAAGGAAGGGGGAGGGAATGAAGTACTGACCCATAGATGAACCCTGAAAATGTTATGTTAAATGTATAAAGCTACTCAAAAAATATCATACTGTATTATTATTTTTAAATAAAATGTCCAGAATAGGTAAACCTATAGACGCAGAAGGTACATTAGTGGTTGTTTAGGGCTGGGGGAATGGAGAGAGAGAGTCCAGGGTTTCTTTTTTTTTTTTTTGAGATGGAGTCTAGTTCTGTCATCTAGACTGGAGTGTAGTGGCACAATCTCAGCTAATGGCAACCTCCATCTCCCAGGTTCAAGCGATTCCCCTGCCTCAGCCTCTGTAGTAGCTAGGACCATAGGTACATGCCATCACACCCAGCTAATTTTTGTATTTGTAGTAGAGACAAAGTTTCACCGTGTTTGCTAGGCTGGTCTCGAACTTCTGACCTCAAGTGATCCACCTGCCTTGTCCTCCCAAAGTGCAGGGATTACAGGTATGAGCCCACACGCCCAACCAAGATGTATATTTTTAATACATTGCTAGATATATTGTAATAATTTGTTTGCCTCTATATGAGTTAATAAAATTGGTCTGCCAGAGACCCTGTCTCAAAAAACAGTTAAAAGTAGAAATCTTGAGCCTGGAAAAGCCTCAGAAATAAATAATAAATAAATAAATAAATAAGTAAATAGAACTCTAATGTGATAATCTTTTTCTATTATTTGAAAAGCTTGTAGGCCAGGCGCGGTGGCTCAAGCCTGTAATCCGAGCACTTTGGGTGGCCGAGGCGGGTGGATCACGAGGTCAAGAGATCGACACCATCCTGGTCAACATGGTGAAACCCCGTCTCTACTAAAAATACAAAAAATTACTTGGGCATGGTGGCGTGTGCCTGTAATCCCAGCTACTCAGGAGGCTGAGGCAGGAGAATTGCCTGAAGCCAGGAGGCGGAGGTTGTGGTGAGTTGAGATCGCGCCATTGCACTCCAGCCTGCAAAACAAGAGGAAAACTGTCTCAAAAAAAAAAAAAAAGTTGGAAGATCTGTTTCACAACAGTGCGAATATTTAACTACTGAACTGTACCCTTTAAAATGGCAGGCTGGGTGTGGTGGCTCATACCTGTAATCCCAGCACTTTGGGAGGCTGAGGCGGTCAGATCACTTGAGGTCCAGAGTTTGAGACCAGACTGGCTGACATGGTGAAACCCCATCTCTACTAAAAATACAAAATTAGGCCGGGCGCGGTGGCTCAAGCCTGTAATCCCAGCACTTTGGGAGGCCGAGGCGGGTGGATCACGAGGTCAAGAGATCGAGACCATCCTGGTCAACATGGTGAAACCCCATCTCTACTGAAAATACAAAAAATTAGCTGGGCATGGTGGCGCGTGCCTGTAATCCCAGCTACTCAGGAGGCTGAGGCGGGAGAATTGCCTGAACCCAGGAGGCGGAGATTGCGGTGAGCCGAGATCGCGCCATTGCACTCCAGCGTGGGTAACAAGAGCGAAACTCCGTCTCAAAAAAAAAAAAAAAAAAATACAAACTTAGCTGGCGTAGTGGCGGGTGCCTGTAATCCCAGCTACTCAGGATACTGAGGCAGGAGAATCACTTGAACCCTGTTGGAGGGTGGCAGTGAGCTGGAGGTTGCAGTGAGCTGGGTTTGTACCACTCCACTCCAGCCTGGGTGACAGGGCAAGACTCTGTCTCAAGAAAATAAAATAAAATAAATTTATGGAATCAAATGTATCTATTTTTTGTTTAACTTTTTTGTTTTTGTTTTTGTTTTTTGAAACGGAGTTTCGCTCTTGTTACCCAGGCTGGAGTGCAATGGTGCAATCTCTACTCAATACAACCTCCGCCTCCTGGCTTCAGGCAATTCTCCTGCCTCAGCCTCCTGAGTAGCTGGGATTACAGGCACCCGCCACCATGCCCAGCTAATTTTTTTATCTTTAGTAGAGACGGGGTTTCGCCATGTTGACCAGGATGGTCTCGATCTCTTGACCTCGTGATCCACCCGCCTCGGCCTCTCAAAGTGCTGGCATTACAGGCTTGAGCCACCACGCCCGGCTTGTTCTTGTTTTTGAGATGGAGTCTTGCTCTGTCACTCAGGCTGGAGTGCAATGGTCTTAATCTCTGCTTACTGCAACCTCCACCTCCTGGATTCAAGCGATTCTCCTGCCTCAGCCTCCTGAGAAGCTGGGATTACAGGCATGCACCACAACACCCAGCTAATTTTTGTATTTTTAGTAGACATGGGGTTTCACCATGCTGCCAGGCTGGTCTTGAACTCCTGACTGCAGGCAGTCCTCCCACTTTGTCCTACCAAAGTGCAGGGATTACAGGCAGGAGCCATTGTGCCCGGCCCACTTTAAGTTCAGTTGTGAGCCTAGCTCTTAAGAATACTTGCCTCTTTTTACTTGCCCTCTAGCATATCTGCTTTTGCTAGGTAAGAGCTTCCTCTGGGTAGCTGCTGCAATCTTGGCCTGGCCTCCAAAGTAAACAGGCAGAGATAACTTAGTACAAACCTCAGGGAGAAGCCTAGCCCAGCTAGATCTGTAACTTGAAACAGAACCAATCCCAGCCTAGACCTAGTGACCCCAGACCGTTCACAGGTATGTCCGATCAATATGGGCTGAAGGATAGATGTATATGCCTTCTGTTTTACAATACTAGGTAGGAGAAGCATTCCCAAGTCAGACATGGTATCAGTCCCCATAATACATTCAGGTAAAGGAGACACAATTGTTTCACATAAAACCTTTTTAAACATACCAATTCCCATCCAAATGTTCACCTTAATCTTATCAATCTTTTGTACTCTTATATCCTCCCAACTTTACTGTAGCCCCCTTAGAACTTCACCAACAGATCTCTGAACAACAGTCCATGGGGCTCCTGTGTCCAGGAGTCCCAGAAATATCACTTCTCTACCTCTGACTATTTTACTCACTCATGTGCATATGACTTTGAGTCCGCTACTGGAGGTCAGGCCAAGATACCCAGACTCTCCCATCAGTTCTTCTTTTGATCACATTCCAGAACCATCATCCCACATGACTGGAGGTAAGGTTTCTTTCTTTCTCTTTTTTTTTAGACAGAGTCTCACTCTTTTGCCCAGGATGGAGTGCTATGGCATGGTCTCAACTCACCACAACGTCCACCTCCTGGGCTTAAGTGATTCTCCTGCCTCAGCCTCCTGAGTAGCTGGGATTACAGGAGCCTGCCATCATGCCCAGCTAATTTTTTGTATTTTTAATAGAGACGGGAATTTCACCATATTGGCCAGGCTGGTCTTGAACTCCTTACTATGTGATTTGCCCACCTTGGCCTCCCAAAGTGCTGAGATTACGGGCATGAGCCACCGCACCTGGCCAGGTTTCTTTCGTTTTTTTTTTGAGACAGAGTCTTGTTCTGTTGCCCAGGCTGGAGTGCAGTGGTGAGATCTCGGCTCATTGTACCCTCCACCTCCCAGGTTCAAGCAATTCTCCTGCCTCAGCCTCTGGAGTAACTGGGTCTACAGGCGTCTGCCACCATGCCCAGCTAATTTTTTGTATTTTTAGTAGAGATGGGGTTTTACCATGTTGACCAGGCTTGTCTCAAACTCCTGACCTCAGGTGATCCACCTGCCTCAGCCTCCCAAAGTGCTGGGATTACATGCGTGAACCACCATACCCGGCCTGGTTACGTTTCTTGAATTACTTTTAACTAGGGTGGATAAGGCAGGTTTTTTTAAGGCCCTTCAATGCTGAGTGACCAGCAGGAGTCTCATCAGTACAGTAACTTCTGAGAGTGCTACATTAAAGCCGCTGTTTTGGTTCCACCAATGTCTGCTTTATTGGTCAACTTCCTGGGGTTTTTTTTGTTTTGTTTTGTTTTTATAGAGACAGGGTCTTGCTCTGTCAGTCAGGTCGGAATGCACTGGTACAAACACAACTCACTATATCCTCAAACTATTGGGCTCAAGTGATCCTCCCACCACAGCCTGCTGAGTAGCCGGGACTACAGGTGCTCACCACCACACCTGGCTAAGTTTTTATTCTTATTTTTTGTAGAGATAAGGTCTCACTGGGTTGCCCAGACTCGTCTAAAATTCCTAAGTTTAAGTGATCCTCTTGCCTTGGCCCTGCAAAATG